AAGTAACATTGCTGCAAATAGGCCTCTCACTATAACAAATTTGAAGTGCGATATATTTCTGAAGTAAATGTAATAAATGGCACAAAAAACAATAATGAAACACTTCAGCAGTTGTATCTATTTTGAGTCATATAAGTTTTTATTCACACTTCTGCAGCTCTATATTAATTTAAAAACAAAACAAAAAAACAGAACAAACGTCTCATCTATCTTCTCAACTAAGTCAATTTAATAATTATAGTGTACCATTTGGCAAAAAAGTCTATTTTATCCTTGGTCAGGTGGTAAAACAGTCTCCTGAAAAGATAAGCAAATACAAAATCAAACATTAGTGCTGCAACAACATGTATAGCATTTATTTCATGTGGACATAGCTATTGCATTGGGTTAAACCAGATGCACTGTTAAAGTGTTATAGTACACGTGCTAATTTTCAGATGGACTTAAGTTAAAATGATCAAAATTATGTGATTTTGTTGAAAAATGCTAGTCATCTGTTGTTGTTTGGGTTTTCTTTGCATATTTTATTTTATTTTTTACTTTTTTTGTCTGCTTGCAATTTGAAATCATCAGGGAACCTTAGAAATATAATGGGCTTCTGAAATAATCATGAATTGCAGCTCTATAAAAAGAACTTGTGGTAAACTGTAGGCTTCTGTATATTAGTTTATATTATATTATGTATATTAGAAGTACATGTACTTCTAATGGTCTTGTGTTAAACTGTCAGTTACTGAATACACTTATACTTGTGTTTGTTATTTAGGGCTACGCGTACACATTCATCACAGAGGAGCAGGCGCGTTACGCTGGTGACATCATCAAAGCTCTGGAGCTCTCAGGCTCCGCTGTCCCTCCTGAACTGGAGCAGCTCTGGGCCTCCTTCAAAGACCAACAGAAAGCAGTATGTTTACTTGCCGTCTCTTTACTTTTATTTACGGATTTATCTACAGGTTTATCTTTTCTGTATTTCCTATGTGTTGTCACATGATTAAAATCCAAAATCCACTTTAATTGCTCATTTTACAAACCATAGTACTGCACAGATAAAGATTATATATAATATAGTATAGTATGATTTTCATCCTCTCATCATCATAAGCTGTATTTCATTGTTTGCAATTGTAATATCATTATCTCAGATATTGATTTAATTCTGCTTTGTCTGACAGGAGGGAAAGTCCATCAAAAGCAGCAGTGGGTTCTCTGGTAAAGGCTTTAAGTTTGATGAGACAGAGCACGCTCTGGCCAATGAGAGGAAGAAGCTGCAGAAGGCTGCTCTGGGCCTGCAGGACTCAGATGATGAGGACGGAGCACTCGATGTGAGTTTCTGTTTTACCTCTGGTGTAGCCGTGTGTTATTTAAAGGACCAGTTATACAGTATGCAAAGCAACTGTTTAGAGGATTATTATAACTATGGGCGGGTGATGTGGCCAAATGTTTTTCTCAGAGCTCAGGTTACAACACAGTTACATTACACATGAATAATAATTATGATTATGATAATGAATTGCATTTATATAGTACATTTTGACACACCCAAAGTGCTTTACACTGCATTATTCATTCACTCCACACACGGGGGTGTGTGAGAAGCTACATCTGTAGCCACAGCTGCCCTGGGACAGACTGACAGATGCGGGATTTGCACCATCAACCACCACCAAACACTCACATCATTCATACTAGGCATCCACTAGAACGAGTGCTATTGTAAGTTGCAGAATGTCTCCTTTACCATAATGTCTGACTCACCCTCTTGTTCTGTGTTCAGATCGAGGAGCAGATCGAGAGCATGTTTAACTCAAAGAAACGTGTGAAGGACTTGGCGGCTCCAGGAGCCGCCCTCCCAGGAGCTGGAGTCGTGCCCACCACCGCAGCCTCGACCGGGGGCACAGGAGGAGCACCCGCCTCTGCCGGAAACATCCAGAAACTGGAGATGGCAAAACGACTGGCGCTTAGGATCAATGCTCAGAAGAACCTGGGAGCTGAGGCACAGGTGAGACACGGGGACAGAAACAACTCATCAGGTTTAAGGGCCAATATTTCACTATTTTTCACTGTGTTCTAGTGTACTTTCTTCATCATAAACAGACCTGGAGTTGTATTTTGTTTCATTCACACATGTTTAACACACAAACCTTGCACATTTAGGCTGAGTTCTTCTCTCAAACAGAAAACACTCTGTTCCATGTTGTGATGTCATATGGTAATACAGGAAGAGTTTCACTGTGTTTTTAAACTCCATCCACCTTCAATAGAAACACTTGGATAATTTCAGCCCTGTAATTGCCAATCTCTACTGAACTAAAGGTAAAAGGAGCTGTTCACTTGAAATCTACTGCTTCATGACATCACAAGGTGGAACAGAGCATTTGGAGCTTTGGAGATGTAGACAGACTGATGATAAAGAGTTACTCAAACATGTGTGACAGAAACAAAACATAACTCCAGGTATGTTTTTGATGAAATAACAGCATTATAATATGACTTAAAGCTCACAAGACTCAATTTCGCATAATACATGAACTTTAATTGTGACAGATCAGTTATTGAAATCATTTTCAAGTAATTTAGTACGTGAATAATTGTTAACTGGTCGGAGTAAATTTTACTAAAAGTTTGTCCTAAGTACAGTTGGTGCAAAGTCAGGTAATGACAAGGATAGTTTTTTTGTTTTTCCTTGATTGTTTTTCTCCCTTCTCAGGACGTGATGCAGCAGGCCACAAACGCCATCCTTCGCGGTGGCACCATCGTGACGCCATCAGTGTCGGCCAAAACCATCGCGGAGCAGCTCGCTGAGAAGATCAACGCCAAACTCAACTACACGCCCGTGGAGAAGATGGAAGAGGAGAAACAGGGGGCGGAACAAACAGAGACGGTCAAGAGGTATGAAGAAGAGCTGGAGATCAACGACTTCCCTCAGGTGAGACGTACAGGGTTCTTTTAGGGCTGTACGCTTTTAGTGGTTTAGTCCATTAATCGGTAGATGGAATCTTAGTTATGATATTTAGAATATAAGGATTTCTGTGGGGCAACAGAAGTGAGACAGTTAACTGAAGTCTTTATATAAATACATAGTTTCCTTGTAGCCTTTTCTGCATAAATAGTTGTTTTTGCATGAATGCATAAATGTGTCATATTTTGTCCTGACGTATATTTACCTTTTCCCTGTCCGCTCTCAGACCGCGCGTTGGAAGGTCACGTCAAAGGAGGCTCTGCAGAGGATCGGAGAGTATTCTGAAGCAGCCATCACCATCAGAGGAACGTACTTCCCTCCTGGAAAAGAGCCCAAAGAAGGAGAGCGCAAGATCTACCTGGCCATTGAGAGTACGGACATACATTTCATTCTCTGGAGTTTTGTACCACCCAAAATCACGACAGCAGTCGCCTCACAGGACCTGCTGTTGTGACCAAAGTGTTGACTTAACCAGTAAGGGGTCCCTGGACCATGTGTTCGGGGTCCCCCAAAAATTGTGATAACCATTGATTATCACTTAAATACTACAATCCCAAACATTTATTGAAACTAAACCAGTAAAATAATGACAGTGATTTCTGTGTTCCAGGTGCGAATGAACTGGCTGTACAGAAAGCCAAGACTGAAATCACACGGCTGATCAAAGAGGAGCTCATCAGACTCGTAAGTACTTTGAAACTATTACTACTACTACTTGAATCTATTTAAGATAAGCATTACATGGGCAACAAAATCAAAATAAGATACAAGGTAGGATTTAATGAGTTGTTCTGAAGATGTGCACAAATGCAACAGAAGTATAAGAAAACTGTTAGAAGAGGTTTAAATAAAACATCACTTAAGCGCTGTCATAAAACATTTGTTTCATAGTTAAACTTCAAATAAGACATTTACTGACGACATGTTATTTCTGATGGACTACAAAACTATGATTTCATAGTGTATCAACTGTTACTACAACTGCTGCTACAATAATATAGTTGTAATAAGTACTAGGCAGGTTGTAATAGTCTTGAATGCTGCTTTTTCTTTCAACATTATAACATGTAAATAGGGATGTTTAGTCTTAGAATTATCCAGTGACTAGAAATAATAATCTCAACTTTAATTTGGAAGGGCACCTGGTATAAAATTTGTCAAATCACACAACCTTCTTGGCTTTTTTCCCCCCTCTTAAATATGTATGATGTCGTAATTGTGAGAATTGCCCACTCCTGACTGCACACACTAGACTATGAACTTCATACAACACACATTACTGCAGTATATTAAATATTTTATACTCAATTCTTTTCTCACCGTCTCTTTGTTTTTTTTCTCTGCAGCAAAACTCGTACCAGCCGACGAGCAAGGGCCGATACAAAGTGCTCTGAAGGAGGATTCTGTTTTTTGTGTATGCAGTTCTTGGTTTTTTTTTTTAATGGTCGATAACAACTTAAGCTTCTTCTGTATATTATGTTGTCACCCCCAATGCGTACAGACATGTGTTCCTCTGTGTCAATAAATCTCATAATTTTATAATAACTTGCAGTCATTTTCTTTCTCACACTATCGCTAAAATGCTCCCTCAAAATAAGTCTTTGCATGTACATCATACAACAGTCTTCCATTAGAGAAATTACTGTTCACGTGTGGAGCCATTTTCATTCATTTTGAAATCTGTTGTCCTGTTTGTGGCTCTTTTAAATTATTCAACAGCTTTCAGTGTTTATTATTTATTAGTGCAATGGCAGAGACTGTGCAGATACCTAAATCATGTCTTTTTACGTGAATTCTCAGCTTAAAACGCAACTTATGAACCGAACGTGTTGTGTTGGCGTGAAATTTCCAATGCACCTTTTATTAAGCGTGCAGGTTTTGGAGATAAAGAATAAAAAAGACGTTCCATCCCGTAGGACTGCAGTGCGCATGCTCAGACCGCTTTCTCTCGTCTTATTAATTTTTAATGGAAAATGGCTGCGTTTCTTATCCAAACCTCTGGAGCCTGCTAATAAATCCGACTGCATTTGCGCCGTTTCAATCCAATTTAGTTCGTGTTTTAAGCTAAATCGAAGTAAAAAGTGGTTAAATTAGAAGATTACGCACGGGTGGAAGGACGTCGATGCGTTTTGGAGCCATGGATGTACTTGCAGTCTAAGACGAAGGATCATTTTTCTCCTTAACCCTTTCTGCTCCGACTACAGCCAAACAATTGAGGTACAGTAAGGTCATTGCTCATCCAAACACGCTAAAATAACATTGCATTATTTTGTTAGATTGCATAGGATTGACAGTTGACGCTAACCTAGATACGAGTCGCTATTCGTTCGTAATTTTAACCCTTTTATTAACAGGGCAGGACCATAGACTATACTTGGCCATAGCGAGCTGCTTTTGTCGTCTAGATGCTAAAATACAAGTTGATAGTCCGATTTTTGGCTGATAAAATGACTACGTTACGCGTGTTACGTGCAGAAAATAATGAAAATATAGGTTAAAATCCACTCGCATCCTCCTCCTTTTTATTTATTCCTCATTTAAAGAGACTAGCATCATATGGACTGGCATTACCAAACCATCACCATTGTAACAAGCCTAATACGACATGCACTGTGTCTCTTAAAGGTTCTGTGTTGCTCTAAATTGACAACAATGCCGTTACATCGTCAAAAACATACCTGGAGTGGACTTGTGTTTTGTTTCATTCATATATATTTGAGTAATCCTTTATTGTTGGTCTACACTGCAAAAAAGCTTGGCCAAAAATTAAGATATAAACACTTAAATCCATCAGAAAATAACTTAAAAGTAGTGAAATTATCCGTCCATTCAAGCAAAATAATTGTTCTTGATAAGTTATCTTAAAATAAACTACCTCTAAGTCTAGAATTAAGCAGTGACAAAACTAGTAAAAATAGATAATAAATATGAAAACTAGAGGAATAAACTGATACAAGTTTTAAAATTTTGGCTTAGATCAGAAAAATTCGCCGTGTACATCTCCAAAGCTCAAAATGCTCCACCTTGTGATGTCACGAAGCAGTAGTTTTCAAGTAGAGATGAGCTATTCCAGATCTGAAATCGTCCAAATTATTCTAGTGCAGGCGTAGGAAGTTTAAAAACACAGTGGAGCACGATATGACATCACAGAGGGGAACAAAGGGGGAGTGTTTTCAGTTTTTTTGAGAGAAGAACTCAGCCTAAATATGCAGGTTTGTGTTAAACACGTGTGAATGAAACAAAACACAACTCCAGATCTGTTCGTGATGAGGAAACTACATTATGACATGGATCAGAGAACAGTGTAATATGGGCCCTTTAAGGTTTCAGAAATAGTAGTTTTAACTGTAGGAATCATTTTGAAAAGATGGGGGCCCAGTGTCTATAAATAATGCATAAAGTAGCGTGATGGTGGATGTGTGTGTGAACTAAATGCAGACTGTTGCTACAATAATATAGTTGTAATAGTCTTGGCCCGTGCACTATTTGTTGATCGTTGTTATATATAGAGTTGTGTTTGTTTGATGACACACAAATCCTTCATATTTAGCTTCTGCTCTTAAACTGAAAACACTCTGTTCCTCCTTGTGATGTCATGTGATGTCTGATACGAGCCAGACCTTGTGCATCCACTCAGTTTCATTTCACTCCAGCGACTAGGTCAGGAATGAAAACACACTAGACGGTTTACAAAATCCCTGGAAGTGCGAGTTGAGCGAATATATTCAGTGTTGTAAACGATTCCTGAGATTGAGGATTTAAAGCTGGAACAAAGAGAATGTTTGGTGAATTTTATCAAGTATAAAGACGTTATTGCCCTTCTTCCTACGGGATTTGGGAAAAGCTTAATATACCAGTTAGCCCCGTTAGCGGTGCGTTACATACGTGATGACCAAATAGCAGCCTGCCATCGAGCGAATGAATTCTAACACTGCGAGGCCAGACGGTTTCTACAAAGTGAAACCGGCTGACGAATCAGGCTGATACAGGAAGTGGTCCACTGTGTTTTAAAACTCCACACACCTTCACTAGGATCATTTGGATAATTTCCGGCCTGGAATTGTCAATTTCTACTGAACTAAAGGTAAAAGGGGCTGTTCACTTGACAACTACCACTTCATGACATCACAAGCTGGAGCATTTGGAGCTTTGGAGATGAAGACAGACTAATTACAAAGGGTTAATCAAATGTGTGTGAATGAAACAAAGCATGACTCCAGGTACGTTTTTAATGACGTAACAACAATCTAACATGACTTAAAGCTCACAAGAGTCAATTTTGCATAATATACAACCTTTAAACTTTGTAACGGGTAAATATTACTCAGTGAAAGTGAAAGACCAGACATAATAGTTTGAACTTTAACTTGGAAGGGCATCTGGCATAAAACTGGCCAAATCTCAGAGCTGCCTTTGTCATTTTGTATTTTAAAATTCTAGAGGCTAAATTACGAGACAGGTCTGCTTCTTTGGTTGATTAAATTCACTGGTGAATAGGACTGGATGCTGGCAAAAAGCCTAAAATGTCCTTGTGTTGCTCCCTCCTGATTGTCAATTGTATTTTTTCTTGTTAAATATGAAGACGGCTTTCTTTCATGGTAATTTCCACCTTGAAGCTGTGCCCTCAAACACGAAAAGCTGTCTTCTTCTTCCAAAGTGTGAACTCCAAAGCACATGCTTTTAGAGGATTGCTGGATATCTAATTGCAAATTTTCTCACGAGCATTGTAAATGAGATCAGATTTGCGATTTAGGTTTTAATAATGAGATTCTTTTCAAAGTGCACATTTTAAACGCGTCCAGGAGAATAGGGATGCACGTCAGTATCGGATATCGGCACCACCCATTTTGGTCTATAAACTGGTGTAATAAATTTGACGATTTACTGGTTTTTATTGGCCCAAAACGTCTCGTAATAATAATAAACTTGCATTTTTACAAAGCTCTTCTGTAATGATTTAAAATGAAAAAGCTGGAGCAGTGCATCTTTACAGGAGAATTGACAAAAAGACTGAAATCTGAACTGACAAACTAATACAAGACTCACATTTCAGAACATGTTTGTGCAAATCTAAACTACAGGGTTAGCAGCTTTTATGCAAAATGAGACAGGAGTTTTTTGTGACTGAGGAGGAAATGATTGTATTTCAAAAACTGCAGCCGCTGTGAATCGCATCCATTCACATTTTGATAAGATTGCTGTTAGTCTTGTCGCTTTAACTGGCTGCAGACCTCTTCATTAAAAAGCCCCGAGCTGACCCCTGATGCTTTGAAATGACTGCATACTGAAGTCATTCAAATTATTAACTACACAGGAAGTTCCCATTCCAGACCAAGACTGGGTGACTCATCCAGGGTTAGGGTCAGAGGGGTCAAAGGTCATCATCACAGCGCAGTGGGAGGAGCTGAGGCCCACAAGTCAAAATCATTTCTTCAGTGAGGTCAGCTCAAGGTCTAATAACATCTATGAATGCACATTACCAGCTTCGCGTTGCTTCTTTAATCTGATATGTTCATTTGAATTTCAGTCTTTTTGTCAATTCTTCTGGATGTGTTTAGATTTCAGAGTTCACTTTTTATCACAGTCGCAGTGCTCATCAGAAAAATCGCAATTCGTTTGTGTTATTGCTTTAGTCTGGTTTGGAATCGATTATCCACAATTGGAATCATCTAATTTAGTAATCGAATAATCGTCAACTGGTCTATACACAGGCTCCAAAACACGCCGTGAGGTTCTAGGAGTAAGACAACACATTTATTAAATCGAAATTACTCAGGAAACGTGGAAATTGTCGTGTTTTTGAAGAAAACTGTAAATCTGTAAATCTACTCCATCAGGACATCTTTCCGCAGTTTCACTTAAGCTTCATCTAGCTCAAATTGTGTCAAAGTCTCATAGTCACAGACCTTTCAACTAGGGCTGTAACGATATCCAAGTCTCACGATACGATATTTATTGCGATATCGTGGGAAATCTCACGACAGGGTGGGGAGGCTTATGATTAGGTATGTAACAATATCCAAATCTCTCTGTACGATATTTTCACGATATACATCTCACGGTACGATATTTATTGCGATATTGTGTACTACTACTGTATGTGTACTTTTTCCTCTTAAAATGCCTTGACAAGACTTAATCCAAAGAACTAAGACTTAAAAGTGCTTAGAACTCTTGTAGTCTACACTGAAATGGAGCAAAGGATCATGGTCTATGTAGTTCTTTTGCAGTTGTAGTCTTTTACTGCACCATAACTCTTAATTTAAGCAAAGAGACTTGCATTTCGATATATTGTGATGGTCCACGATATCATTGTGAGAACTTTGACGATACGATATCACGATATTTCGGTTATTGCTACATCCCTACTTTCAACTAATCCGGGGGGGGGTCCAATCTTTCCACCAGCGAGCTACTTTTACAAAAAAAAAAATTAAAATAAAAATGGCAGAGAGCTGGGTTTGTGTGAAATTGGGGCAGTATAAAGGTAACAACTATAGCTTTAGATGGGATATATTTAGATGCCCATAAACATAAACCATAGGAATGTAACAATAACCGAAATATAATATCGTATCGTCAGAAGTCTTACAATAATATCATGGGCCATTACAATATGTCGAATTACAAATTTCTATTCACGCTTACCGGAAGACGTTTGGAAACATGATGACTTCCGATGTAGTTACCGATACTGGACCATAGACTGTATAAAGAATATTCATATATATTTATTTACTGGGCACGTGATAAAACCATGGATTCAGCAGCAGTGTCTTCACAGCCTGTCAAAGCTTTCCATGAGGGACGGGACTCTAATCTTGTCTTCACTGTCACTTACAGGCAGCTATTTGTAACTGTTGATCTGCCGAACATAACGGAACACTGCAATGACATATATATATATATAGATATTTTTTTTTATTAAGTTAGACAAATTATAATGCACAAATTAATAGACAATTCATAAGAAAGAATACAATGACATCTATATGAAAAAAAAAAACAGGCCATTTTCTCAGTTTTTATCTTTTTAGATTTTGTCAGAGTTACTATCGCCAACAGGTTTCCAAACCTCTTCTGGTTTTTTGACATAAGCATGAATAGAGCCTGTTCATTCGTTATGGTGCAGCATGAGCTTTCAAACAGAGGGAACGACACAGACCATGATCCTTTGCTCTGTTTCAGTGCAGACTACGTGAAAAATAACTGTTCTACCTTCATTTTTATAAGTCTTGTCAAGGGATTTTAAAGGGCCCATCTCATGCAAAATCAACTTTCTATCTTCTAAGAGTGATGTGTGGGCCTTGTATATGTCGCCAAAGTGGTTTTTAGATTGATTCGGCGTTTTTTTAACAAATTGCAGCGTATTTCTGCCACCCTCCCACGTGACAACGAACTAAAGCTGCTACAACGATGACGAGGCAGCTACACCTATGACACGTTTGACGTAGCAGAAAGTGCTTCGCACCCGCCCCCCTCCCCCGCTTCATCGCCTCTGCCCTGCCTCCACCCCGCATCGGCTGACAATTCCCACATGAACCTAAACAAAAGCGACAGCATAAGCTCATTGTTCTACACTGCAGTGTTTACGATATAATAAGTTTATCTACTAGTGTTTATTAATACTTTACCAGTCAATAATGTTCAGCTGATGTGTGCTGACGCGGTGCTTGAGCTTCATGCACCTCCAAGTCCTTGTCCGAGTCCGGGTCCAACACATGTGGCTGAACGCGCTGTATCTCCATGATGAATAAAAGTTTATTCCTGCCTCTATCAGGGTGCACGCCTGTCTCCCCCTCCCTCCCATCTCAGGGAGGGAGGGGGAGTCGGCCTTTCATAGTTACTGGTCTGTGACTGTCTCCAAGAAATCAGCAAGATTTCAGAACTATTGTGTAATGGATGTTCCAAAACCCAAACCGTGCTTGTTTATGTGCAGAAGATACAATGTGAAAAGAGTTATTTTGCATGAGATGGGCCCTTTAAGAGGAAAAAGTAACATATTCGCCATTCAGTTTCTACAAAATATTGCAATAAGTATCATACCATGAGATGCATATCGTGAAAATACAGAGATTTGGATATCATTACATCCTTAGTAAACCATACATCAGTATATCAATGCACACAATGAGATGAGATGCATTGAGAACAGACTTGATGAATCAAGGTTAAATTACTCAGTGTCCTAAATCCTTTGGGGAGCCAGTTGGATTGGGGTGTAGAGCTATTGGTAGTTCACAAGCTACAGGTTGGAGACTCCTGATCGAATCCATTAAATTAAAGAACCATCACTACCTTCATCAATAATCCAAATAATAGTTTGTTGCATGTCTCTTGTTGGTTGTAGTAACACTCTGTCTCCTCTCAGACCAAGATGATGCGTCAGGTGACCACCGCAGACTTCTGCATGAACAGCCGCCCCTCGTGTCTCGCCGAGGACCACCCGGCGCACTTTGACCTCTGCACCCAGGCCAGCAAGTTCTACCCCCCTCCTCCCCCCACCTCTCTGCAGATGAGCCTGGCTCCCATGGCCCTCCCCACGCAGAGCCCGCACAAGACTTTGGTGTGTCCCAGGCAGGAGCTCCTTATGCCTGACCCCCTCAACCCGGGCAAGCTCACCTCTGTCAAAGGCAGCGAGCAGCCACCGGATGACCCCAAAAAGAAGAGCAAGTCCACGGGCAAATCGGGCCGTCGAGGGAGGCCGCTGGGCACCACCAAGCTGGCAGGGTACCGGACGAGCACCGGCAGGCCCCTGGGCACCACCCGAGCAGCGGGGTTTAAGACCAGTCCGGGCAGACCGCTGGGCACCACGCGAGCCGCAGGGTACAAGGTGAGTCCAGGGAGACCCCCAGGCAGCATCAAGGGGCTGTCCCGACTCAACAAACTGTCTGCCTACAGCACGTCCTGCAGTGGAGCGGCATTCCCTTACCCCCTCCCCCACCCCAAAGATTTACTCTGTGAAGTCCCAGGACACAAGGATCTGCTATGCGACGTGTCCGCCCATAAAGATCTACTGTCCCCCCATAAGGATCTACTGTCCCCCCATAAAGATCTGCTCTGTGACGTCTCCCCTCATAAAGATCTGCTATGTGACGTCCCGGGACATAAGGACGTGCTGTGTGAAGTGTCCCCGCAGAAAGACGTGCTGTGTCAGGCGTCCTGTAAAGAGAAGGGTCCCGCGGAGTGACCAGCAGGGGGCAGAGCAGAGGGAGACTTTTTACAAACTTTGGACTTTTCTAACTAGTCGTGTGTCTGCCTGCACCTGTATAAACGGTTTATTCACAGTGCTACTGATGAAGATGTAACTCATACACAAAGCTCCGCCGCAGACAGTAAGAATAATGGACCAAGGGACTGTGTGGAGGAGCATGATGCACTAGGGCTGTAAGAAGTATCCAAAATCACATACTAAACAACATTAAAACTAGATTTGAAACTCTATACTCATTTTAGCAGGACAGAAATGAACCCTTCTTGAATGGCTTTAGAATGATCTTAAGTATAAGAGCACATAGACTAGTAATACAAAAGCGGGTACTATTATTTAATATGGAAAATCACATTGTGTTGTCTAAAGAAAGAGTCAAAATTGAGTTTGAAGTTTGAATATCACACTATGAGGAACATGTTTGAGGGAGGGACCGGGTTTAGGCTGGTGCCTCTGGTTCCTCTCTGTATCAGGATGGAGCCTGGAGGGGCTTCACTTACATTGTGGTCAGTGTGGGGTTGGACACTGGTAAAAGGAACTTCTAAAGAACTAAGACAAAAAAATCTAAGGAAAAAAAACCTTTGATAACATGTTTGAATACTGTTACATCCCAGCTCGCTGGGTTCAGGGAAGTAACACAAAAACCAAGGTGGAAAATGTTATAAATTATGTAATGTTTAATTAACAGGAATGTGAAAGGGTAAATTAAACAAAACATGCTAAAATATGTCCATAAAATAACCTAAACTAAGAAACAAAACACCAGGGTTACATACGTAGTTACAAACGAGTGACTAAACTAAGGGACACACAACAAAACCAAATCACAAGTGTCCCAAAGTAAAACCACATAAACCCACAAACAGAATCGAATGACAAAACTAAAGGGCACAAAACAGAACCAAGTGTCTCAACACAAAGTCAGACACATACTAGCACAAAGTGCTGACACTAAAGACACACAGACACAGAATAGCAAACTGGCCACAAAGGCCAGCAGCCCTGAACAGGTGCTGGGACTCTCCTTAAATAGGAGGAAGTGGCTGCAGGTGAGGTGGGCGTAGACAAGCCCCCCACCAACCAGGGACCAGAATCCAACAGCCAACCAAGTCCAGTCAGGAGAGCAGTCCATCAATCAGCTGTAAGGGGCTCTCAGAGCAGAAATTAAGACAGCCAGCAAAAGAAATTAAAACACAAAACAAGTCAGAACTGGAGGCCTGGTCTGTAAAAATACCCAATGGAGTTAATGCATTTTCATCACAAACTAAAGTACTCTTTAATAGTACAGTAAAAAAAACAAAAAACAGTGGTGTGTGACATGAGCTGACTGTGAGCCTCACTTCTTGTCTGAGAGTTGAACTGCAGCTTTCCTTCCAGTGAAGCCCTGTCCATTCTTCTTACTGTCTGCTCCTCGTCTCCATTGTGTGTTTTTAATATGAAATGATACATGTTTAAGGGGGGCTTTGACTCACAACAGTGAAACTGTTAAATGTAGCATTTTCTACAACTCAACATAAGGGACTACAGACTGGTGTGACTGTACTCTAAAAACACTGTAATAATCTCAGACACTATGTGCACGCACCACCCCGTCACCAGGGTTTCAGTTCATCCACACTCACATAGTAGCACTTCTCTGTCCCTTTATGTTAAACCTGTTTATTCGTGGGTTAGGGAAGAGTGCCTTGGTCAGTGGCACTAAAATATACTGTAAATGTACATATATGACTCGTGGCTTCATAGATTTAACACGTTGCACTTATCACCGTCTTTTGTAAACAACATTTTAGTTTTTCACAGCAGTGTACGTGTCTGGTTAATGTAGAATGTTTAATTTGATTTGACCAGTGTCCAATGCATAAACACAAAACGTCTAATTCTTGTCCTTCTCTGTCCATGTCCTTCAGGCCCCAGTTACACTCACAAACCTGCATTTTGTCTCTAAACTTTGAAGTGCATATGACAGGTTTTCATGTTTTTTTAATTCTGATTTGGTTTGATGGGGTAGTACCTAGGGTCAGTAATGAGTTAAGTGGCAATTTGTGGAAAAAGTACAAAAACAGAATCAACACGGAAAACTCCATCCAAAATGCAGAGACAATTTAAGCACAAGGAAGTCATTTTTTGGACAGTTTAAACCTTCATTTAACAAAATAAAGGAGTTGCCATGTATCTTTATTTGTCTAATCATAACTATTGTGCTGTTAGGACAGATTTTGGCTCTTGTTTACATTGCGGTTGCTAGATAAATGTTTTAGTGAATGAACAGTCTAACCTGTCATATGCACTTAAACTTTTTTAACTTTGGAAAACAATGAGTTTAATAATAAGCATCATTATTTCTGTTTTTGTTCACCTTACTTAAAGATGCACTGCGTAACTTTTCTGTAGGTGGGTGTACTTGGGTGTATTTGTTACATTGGCAAGCTTACGTAGTTTTTATTTTGAATGTTCCACACTATGGCTTTTTATGTCTATCTTGCATTTATTTCTTAACATGGGTTTTTATGACTCAAAAGTACCACTCTCCACAGATCTGACCTATAACTTTGTCTAGTGGAGTCACCTGCATGTCTCCGTGGAAATAGATAAATTAAATACCAAACTGCGGAGCATTCCAGACAGAGAACAGCGTTTCCATGGAGGTGAAGGAACCACCACCTGCAAAGTTACGCAGTGCACCTTTAACTTTCTAGAATACTTTTGTGCAATAATGTTTTGTGTTGTTATGTGGTAACTTTGATACATTTTTTATTCTTGTATTTTGATATTTTTATCCAAAGTGTTATATTAATGGGCCCATATTACGCGATTGTCTGAACTGTGATATAATGTTGTTTCCTCATCACAGACACACCCGGAGTTGTACTTTGTTTCATTCACACATGTTTAACACACAAACTGAGTTCTTTTCTCAAACAGAAAACACTCTGTTCCACCTTCTGATGTCATGTGGCAATACTGAAAGTGCTCCACTGGGTTTTTAAACTAATATTCGCACCATACATGCACCTTCACTAGAATCATTTGGATGATTTCAGCCAAAATGGAGCTGTTAACTTGAAAATACTCCATCATCACAAAGTGGAACAGAGCTTATAAACAAACTAATAATGCACGATTACTCAAACATGTGTGAATGAAACAAAACACAACACCAGGTTTGTTCTTGAGGAGGTAACAACATAATAACACGGCTTAAAGCTCACACAAGAGTCAGTTTTGTGTAATATAGGACGTTTAATTAGTTGTTTTGAGTAGTGTTACTTCCAACAGCCGAATCCATCGCTCAACTCCTTTACCAAAGAACCGCTACATTCATCCAAATCAATTAAAAAAAAAAAAAGTTGAGAATTTTGTACCGAATACCCACGGCATGTTAAATAGGGACTGGAAGTACTACAGGAAAGGTTTGGTCATTTTGGGGCTTTTCAGTTTGACTAATTATTAAAATAGTAAAGTTGCACTATGTAACTTTTCTGTTTTGGGGTTCTCCACCTTCCACCTGCTTGAATCCATGGAGACGATAATTGCTATGGCTTGAATATTCCACAGTATGGCATTTTAAGTCTATTTATTGATACTTTGGAGCTGATGTCAACAACATTCCAGGGAGGTGCATTTTGTGTTTTTTTTTTCTTATGTTTTCAGACTATATTTAAACTTTTTTGACTGTGTTTGCTAATATGTGTGCATTGTGTCACCATGGTAACTTCTGAACATTCCATCGTAAACATACAGGCAGAGCACCCCCGGCTTGATGTCACCGCAAAGTATTAAAATAGTGTCTTTACTGATCAAAAATACCTTGAAGAACACACATTCTTACTGCGAGTGGCGTCGCTTCTCCACAGATCTGATCAATGACTAAAGGCGTGGTGGTGTCAGTTGCTTGTCTGTGGAAATAAAGAAGTTCATTGCCTCACTGTGGAACGTTCTAGGAAAAGCAATAACATCTCCATGGGAAAAAAAGTGTATTAAAAAGTGTCTAATCATACAAAGAATATTTGGTCCTGTTTAGTCCTGATAAAGACCTAGTTTGATCCTGGTTTAGTTTAGTTCCACGTTTAGTCTCAATTTGGTGTGTGTACAATTGTGAACGCACCATAGATCTCATTAAACTTTATTTGGGTTAGTCCTGGTTTAGTCCTTCTCTAAACCTTATTTGGTTTAGCACCTTCAGTGGTTTAGTCCTTAGGTCTATTCTCTAATTCTGGTTTAGCACCGTTTCAGATTCTTGGTTTTAGTCTTCTTAAAACCTGGTTTAGTTCTGGTTTAGTCCCTATTCTTAAGACCTGGTTTAGTAATTTTCTCTTTAGGTCTGGTTTATTCATGGATTACCTGATACTGATCTAGACCTGGTTCAGTCCTGGTTTAGACCCCATTTGTTCTTGAGTCCTGGTTTAGTTCTGGTTCAGTTTTTACATTGTAGAAAAAATACTGGTGTGGCCCTGGTTTAATTTCAGTAAAGTCGAGCTAATTTCCTCTAAATGTTGGTAAGAAAGCAACGCTGTTTTTTTTTTTTTTTCATTTGGTATCACTCTGTTTTTCGGACTTGTGTTTCCGTCATTGAGAGCGCGTAAAGCTACGGTGACGTTGTATTTCTGAGGAGCGACTGGCGACTGAAGCCTGTAACGATTTGACTAGTGTACAACTCCTGCATGATCGTCGTGGAATGTTCAAATGTTGTGAAATAAACATAAGCGTAACTCACAAACTCTCTGCTGTGTGCTTTAATACATAAACAAAGGCAATAATGTAATAAGCTTTTTGTCTGTAAGAGAACTGTGTTGTAATACAGGTGCTCCACTGTGTTTTAGAACTCCATACTCCTTCACTAGAATCAGGATAATTTCAGATCTGGAATTGCCCATCTCTACTGAACTAAATGCAAAAAGTAGCTGTTAACTTGAAAATGACCACTTCATGACATCACAAGGTGGAACAAGGCATTATGAGCTTTGGAGATGTAGATGAACTATTAAAGCAGGGTTACTCATGTGTGAATGAACCAAAACACAAATCCAGGTTTGTTTTTGAGGAGGTAACCGCATTTTAACGTGGCCTAAATCTCACAAGAATCCATTTTGTGTAATAGGACCTTTAAATGTGAACTAAAGGATCCAGAGCATTGTCTTCATTGAGATGTCTCTCGCTTTTGGCCATGAATGTACCACAGTATGGCATTAACCTTACCTTCATAGGTCATGACTGTGGAGAGAGGATTTCTGCTCACGGGTATTTTTGAGAGAAGGAACACCTGTACTTGAATAAATGCAAAATTGATACTTTAACCAGTGGAACATTACATCCCAACAAAGCAACATCCTGTTCCCTAGAAGATGTTACTGCTTTGCCTTGAATGTTTATGTATCAGTAATATTAAATTATATCTTGTTTATTCAACTATACAAGTATTTTTATTGCAAGATAAATGTTTTAAAAAGCATGAATGGGGTGAATGGAGGTTGCCTGTCTATAGATCTGATTTAATACGGCGTGTTGGTGCTATTTTGTTTCCATGGAGATTTTAATGTTATATTTTTTGCATGTCCGTGTGGCACAGTACGGTGCATTGTGCAAATAACACATAATTAGTACTGAGAGTTGAATATTACATTACACCCCACAGTGGTGCCTGCAGGGGTACGCCTTTACGCACTGTGCGTACCTTGAGTGTCCTCATTAAATCCAAATGGCTGTTCCAGGTTACGCATAGAGGAGCTGAGTGATTACTGACCAAACTGTTCACTTCTTTATTGAGGACAGGGCTGTAAAACTATTAAAACCTGCTTTTTCTGACGCTGGGGATGCACTGGACCTGGACGCGCACTGGGTGTCCTTTTCTCCCTTCCATCCAAGCACGTACAAAACAGCGCCCCCCACAGGCTTGTTTTAAATGTGCGCGTAAAGTCCGACTTATGAAGCATGGAGCACCCTCTTCTCCCTGTGTCAGCCAAATACCAATCCTGAGGGTGCTGTGATAAAACATCTATAAAACAACTGTGCGCACATCCAATAACCAGTCTCCCTGTTATTTGTTGTCTCTCTCTCTCTCTCTCTCTCTCCTGTCACTCATCTCAGTCAGTGCGTTCGGGGCTGTCAGAACGAGTGTCCGTCCGCATAATCAAACGTTTTAGTCACTCTCTAGGTCAGGGGTGTCAAACTCATTTTGGTCCGGGGGCCATATCCAACCTACTTTGATCCCAAAGGGGCCGGATCAGAAAACTCATGGAATATATACCTCAAAAATAACAATAAATTCAAATATTTGTGCAGAGAAATGCAAATCTATTACAGAAATCTTTTTAAATTGATGAACTCTTTCTTTTACAAAATATTATATTATTATGAAGAACCTGAAACTTTAAGAAAAATACAATTTCAACATAATATTTTAACATGAACTTGTATGCAAATAGAAATAAGTCAATTTTTCTTGGAAAATCCTGCACTCGGTGTCCACTTTTCTCATTTTTGACATTTTGCTGATGAGGGTGTCACGGTCAACAGTCAAAACGATCGTCCTTTAAGAGCGTTTGGAAAGAGACAAGTCTTCATTTGTGCTGCTCTGGTGGGAGGGGCCACGTACAGAGACGCTGGAGAAGCTGCTATGCTAAGAAAATTACCAATATTTTAATAAAAATATTTAAGTTGAAAATCAGCCAAGGAGCCAGATTAAAGGTCTTGGAGGGCCGGATCTGGCCCCCGGGCCTTATGTTTGACACCTGTGCTCTAGGTGCACGGGAGCTGTCGCCCGTGCCCTCAGCTTGTGTATCCATCATTGCAAAATATCTACTACTGACAGCTCACTAACTAGTTAGGAAGACACATGAACACGAGGTAGCCGCAATGACCACTCTGACCTGTGACCTCCTCCTTTATTATAGCCTATTATAACAGCGCGTAACCTTGCGCACAAAAATCTAGTGTCCAGCACATTTAGTGGCGATCATATCATACACTGAGCGCTTTGGGAAACTCAATCACTACGGACATCAAATGGGAGAAGGAGAAAAAAGAGACGTGGACCTCCAAAGTCCCATGTGCCAGGTTTAAAGGTTGTATGGAGGATTTTTTTTTTTTTTTCAGTTTCAAATTGTCAATGAAAGTTAAAAATCCCATTACAGAAATGCAGCAGCTTTGTAATTATGATGACCAAAAAAAAAAAGAAAAAAAGAATGAAAATCTATCAACTGTGGACGTAGTGAGGCCAGATAAACATCAGCCAATAGAAAACAAGGCTCCCTCATTTTCTATTGGCTGTTAGGTCATCAATCAAACTCCCTACATTGTTAATGTAACGGACTCGCCGGCGCGCTGGGATTATGTGGTTTATGCAGCGGTCCTTAGAGGCTTTTTCAAACTGTCGCTTCCACACAATTCGCACAAACTTTGTTGCGATGGCGGACGAGAATCCACAACCAGTTCGCCGCCAAAGAAAGTCCGTTTTTGAGGTCACCGAAAGAAGAAGAGAAGGGGAAAAGGAGCAAAGCCAAACTGAGATGACTCTTGGAGATTCCTTCCAGAGATTGAGCGACTGAAGTAGACAAAGGGTCTAAAAACTGATGCGTCGGTCGCTAAATTATTTCTAGACAGGTCACTTTAACAGTAATTCTGAACGCGCACTGGCTGTAAACAAGCGTGATTTCTAGAGTAAAGAGGCGGGAGGAGGTGTTTCTACTGAGGGAGCTGTGGAGGATGACGGTGGTGTCACGCACGCACAAGGACTGTCGCTGTATTTCTCCTCCCTTAAAAAATCCTCTATACAACCTTTAAGTGTGCAGACTGAAGGTCCGTCACCCACTTGGCTGTGCGTGCCTTCCCAGAAATCTCCAAGGCGCCCCGACGCTCCTCCGCACCCACAGCAGCTCGACAGCGCTCCCTGCTTGCTGACGGAAATTGCCGAGATCGCTTCCTCGGCTCTTTTCCGGAAACCACCGAAGTCACTGCACTCGGCTCTTTCCGGAAATCACCGAAGCCACTGTCACTGCACTCGGCTCTTTCCGGAAATCCCCGAAGCCACTTTCACTGCACTCGGCTCTTTCCGGACACTGTTCATCCTTAGCTCGGATCTATATCGTTTTCAGGCCTGCGCTGAGCTCCACAGAGGCGCTTTTATTTCACGGTACGGATATCTACACGCGTGCGAGTGCTGTCTGCGTTTTTAACACTTTTATCTAACATTTACGTATAATTTTTGGACAGGTTTATTGCCGTTGCTAAGGCCTTGCTGACAACGTTAACATTAGCATTCATTGTGCAGTGTAACGCTAGCGTGGGCCTTATTTTGGTCTGTTTTTGACTAAAATAATTAACATCTAGCTTATTTACCGATGTAAGACTTGTCAAAATATATTATCTGTCCTTTGTCCTGATATCCTGATAATCGTCTTGTTTGTGTGGCTATAACCTGTGTGTTTACCTGCTTAGCTCTCCTCATGAACGCTGTTAGCTCCGCGTTAGCATTAGCATTCTGTTCGGGTACATTTTGTTGGCTGACGATGTCTTAGCTGCTTATCTAATGTTAATGTCAAAGCTGGTAAAAAATCAAATGTGTTAATGTTAGATGTTGGTGCAAGAGGAGCTGGACCCGCGTCTTCTCAGCTAACCGGGTCAACACGAGCTAAAAGTACATGTAGCATTAGCATTGAGCAGTGTTGGGGAGTAACAGATTACACGTACCGGAGTTACGTAATCAGAGTACAAATTATGAGTAACTGTATTCAGTTACAGTTACTGTTTCAGTGAGTGGTAATTGGATTACAGTTACTTCGTTGAAATAAGTGGATTACACGGCGGTATTTTCCTGTTTTTACATTTTGGGCTAAATCCCTCTTTTCTTTTTTTTTTGCCAGACACTAAACCAGGACTAAACCAGGTCTAGAACCAGGTCTAGAAACAGGACTAAAACCAGGACTAAAACCAGGACTAAAACCAGGACTAAAACCAGGTCTAAAACCAGGTCTAAAACCAGGTCTAAAACCAGGTCTAAAACCAGGATTAAAACCAGGATTAAAACTAGGTCTAAAACAGGACTCAACCAGGTGTAAAACCAGGTCTAAACCAGGATTAAAACCAGGACTAAACCATGCTGCGTGGACGTGTTTCCTCCTCTTCTATCAATAATATTTTTAATAAGGTTAAGTAAAGTCTGGGCTTTTTATTTTCTTTTAGCAGATAAAACATCTTATGTTACAATATCCTAGTCTTTGCTTCTCTACAGCAAATCAAGTAATCTAAAGTATTCAGATTACGTTACTCACTTTAAGTAATTTAATGGATTACGTTACAAACTACATTTTGGTGTATGTAATCTGTAGGGGAATACATTTTAAAAGTATCCTTCCCAACACTGGCATTGAGCGACCCAGCACTGACTCGTCCTGTTTACTGGTCATTTACGTATAATGGTATCTACACGAGGATAAACTTATGTCTTTAATGTTTTGTATTTCAGAAAATGCCCACGATTAAGCTACAGAGTTCCGATGGGGAGATTTTTGAGGTGGATGTGGAAATAGCCAAACAGTCCGTCACTATCAAAACTATGTTAGAAGGTAAGAAAGGAGCTGCTTTAAATTAAACTAGGGCTGATCGATTATGGAAAAAATCATTATCACGATTATGTTAGTCAGTATTGAAATCACTATTATTCAGATGATAGTTTTTAGTTACATGATGCATTTATTCAGCATTTTGCTCTCAAAAAAGTAGGGCTGGATATTATTAAGAAGTTGCCGATACGATACATACCTCGATACAGTGCACTTTCGATCAATATGATATATTTCAAATCGATTCGATACAGTTTAATAAAAATAAAGGCTAAATCATGTCTGTGATACTAAAAGTCTTTGTTAAACCACTTTTTGTGCAAAGTTAATATGAAACACAAACATTTTAATCATCAAATGTCAAATGTGTCACTTAAAAAAGTTTCCTTCCTCTAAACAAGCACCAAAACTGCAGCTCTGTAACAAAATAATTTAGTAAAAATACTCTTGGTGATATATCGATACAGCAGCCCACGATATCGATACTGTATCATCACATTAAACGATACGATATATCGATATTTAAATATTTTTGCACACCCCTACAAGAAAGCACTTTGTTATTGATAATTTGCGCAAAACTTTCAAATTGAAAATACAACATAGGCTACAAATATACATTAGAGCAGTTTTACGATGTATAAAACAAAATTAATAAAATATACTTTGAACATGAAATAGGGTATAGAAAAACATAAATGTATCTCTCTATATATTTCTATCTATGTTTAAAAAAAAATTATATATATATATACACTTATTTATATATATATATATAAAAAAAAATTTAAATCAGCTTTTTTAAGCATTAGGGCACAGTCACACTAGGACTTCAGAACTGTGCCGCACTCAACACCTGCACAACCTAACTGGGCCACGGCCACTCCTCACTTCCGCCAGCACATAAATCGTTTCAACTCAGTTATATGAATTTGGAGATCGTTTGATACACAATTCAAAATCACAAAGTTCAATTACAGGGCCGTACTTTAAACTGTGTGCATAAAAGTCATGGAAAAGTATGTGCGTGGAGGTCTCACTGTGACTTGTGCTTTGGTTAGATTTGGGGATGGACGATGAAGGAGATGATGACCCTGTCCCTCTCCCAAACGTCAACGCTGCCATCCTCAAGAAGGTACGTCACATGCCTCACTTTTACAACTTAATGTCCCTGAGGTGAATAGCACTGCGGTGTGTGGAGTCATGTCACTGGACCAAAGGTTTAGCCACACTTTTCTGACATGTAATTATCACGATGAGACCACATTCACAGCAAGAGTGACAGCTGTTATTGATAAACATACAAAAATATAGATATGTGAATTCTTTGTTCATTCACAAATAGGGCTGGGTGTCATTAAGAAGTTGCAGATGGGATACATATCTTGATACAGTGCTCTTTCGGTTTGATACGATATATTTCAAATCAATTCAATACAGTTCAGTAAAAAATAAAGTCTAAATCGTGGCTGTGATGCTAAAAGTCTTTGTTCAAGTGAATTATGAAACACGAACATTTTACTCATCAAAATAGTGAAAATGTCAAATGTGTTTCATAAACAAGTTTATTTCCTCTAAACAAGCAACAAAACTGTAGCTCTGTAACAAAATAATTTAGTAAAATATACCAAAAAGTACTCTTGGTGATGTATTGATACAGCAGCCCACGATATCAGTACTGTATCATCACATTAAACCATACAACATATCGATATTTTGATGTTTTTGAACACCCCTCTTCACAAATCACAATTCAGTCACACAAATTATTTTATCATTAGTGAGCAATATGGGCAAATCCAAACTATGGCCAAGAAGCCAAATGCAGCCCTCAAACAAATCTAAGGCTTCCTACGAATTTGGCCCCAATTACCATAGAAGCAGTAGTCTTACACAACAAATTAAGAAAAGCTTCACCGTCACAGCCTTTTAGGTCTGTAGTCTAACACCACCAACTGATTAATTGACAAAATGACTAATTTATGAATATTAAAGATGTATGAGCATAACAGTAGAGAGGAGAAGCATGAAGTGTTTGCTGGGGTTTAAGAGAGGACTGGCAATTTAATCTGTCTTTTCAGTTCTAAAGAGAATATGCTGCTTCCTAATAAATCTCTGTAGTTTTTGCACATAATCCTAATCATTCTGACAGTTTGTGCCAGTATCGCACTTCCTGTTTGTGGATGCACACGCCATGTCTTTAGTCGACCACAGCCCTACATTGTACATTCTTTTCAGAATTAGCATGTCATTAACATTTTATGCACTCTTCTAAAATAAAGCAAATAAGCCTGTCATCTGTGGTGTGTGTCAGGTGATCCAGTGGTGCACCCATCACAAAGACGACCCCCCTCCCCCTGAAGATGACGAGAACAAGGAGAAGAGGACGGACGACATTCCAGTGTGGGACCAGGAGTTCCTCAAAGTGGACCAGGGAACGCTGTTTGAGCTCATTCTGGTGAGAAGCATTCACTCTGTGCTCACACACACACACAACACAACAGACATGGTAACACCATATTTTGTACATACATTATGAGAGAAATTTTAATGGTCAGCATCATCAGTCTGAATATTTGGAATTTATTAACCTGAGGAGAGCTGAATGTCCCTGTGTCTCCATGGGATCTTATTCTGTGTAAAAGCAGTGAACCCTGTAGTTTAGACTTCTACAAACATGTTCTGAAATGCATGGAATTCTTGTTTGTGTTTAGAAGTTCAGATTTCATTTTTCTCTGAACTGTAATGTTCCTGGAGAAATTATTTTTGATTCATCAAGTTTCAAATCCTAATCAACATCAGAATTATGTAATGGAGTGATTTCAAAGTTCATAATGGCTTTTGTTCCTTTTGTTTCACCAGAGGAAAAAAAAAAAAAAAATTTCTTTAGGTTCTGATAGTCCTTTATGTTCAACGAATGGGACTTGAACTTTGTGCCTGTTTTCGTTTCATGTGGATAGAGCCAGTAATTACAGAGATGAACATAAATACCTGCATTTTGACAGTTAAACCATAGAATAATTGCTCATCTGTCAGCTCAGTGTTAAACTATGGCCTCTTGTAATGGCATCCCATGGTGGTGTTTGTGTTCTGTTATATGCAAGTCCTCCAACTTGGAGCAGTGTCAACAGTATCGAAAATCTGATACTGACACTAAAACTAGTATCGGAACTAGATAATTTGTGAAGTATCAATGCTAAAAAAAAGTCCCATTCACAGGACAGAAATTAACCTTTCCTGAGTAGCTTTAGAATGATCTTGAGCTCCATCAGAACAAGTATAAGAGCACATAGACTAGAATGCACACATGGACCAATATGGAACCTGCCTGGACCACTGAGGGATTACACAGATATAAGACCACAAGGGAAAGGAAAAGAAAAAGTACTATTCATGTTGAAATTCTGTTTTCTTACTATCATTGTGGTTTTAGAGTTTGTATTGAGTCTGTTCCTTAGTATCAAAATAGAGTCCAAAGTTTACTATTTTGGTGTGGGCTTCTGCTGCTTTGTGCCACATTTGTAAAAACAGGAAAGCGCTCCAAGAGGTTGGTACAGCGCAGCACCATGTGACCTGAAACCTGACCTCTGATTGGCTGTTGCCCCACTCTGGCTGAGGGCCTCTAGGATGTGAAAGGCGATCCACAGGAGCGCATTAGCCTTCAGACTCTGCTTACATGCACACCAGAGGGTCAGAGAAAGCACTATACAACGTCATAATACGGCGGTTTCCAAACTGATGTCAGGGCGTCTTCTGTTCAGTTTCAAATGAATAGATCGGTTTGTTTAGATCTGTGCTAGCTGTTTTTCAGCCACATAAAAGCGAGTTCTCTCTCTCAGGTCTAATGACATTATTTTGAAGTGGTATACTCACGTTGCCACACTTAAAGTTGTACTAGTATGCTGTTTGTTTTTTGTGGCCCAAGGGTGGCACTAGGGCTAAGGCCAGAGTGATTTCACCTTTTGAACTCAGAAGCAGCACATGACTGCTCTCTTAAAGTAAAACTAAATATAAATAATGTAGACATGAATCATGATAAATTCCACATTGTGATCTGGCTCTTTTTTTTTTTCTGTTTTTTTTTTGTATATATTGGTGCCCACTAGGGGTGTGCAAAAATATCACAATATCGATGTATCATATCGTTTAATGTGATGATACAGTATCGATACCATGGGCTACTGTATCGATATGTCACCAAGAGTATTTTTACGTGTGTTTTACTAAATAGTTTTGTTGCTTGTGGAGTGAAAGGAAACTCATTTATGCGACATATTTGACATTTTGACACTGTTTTGAAGATTAAAATGTTTGTGATTCATATGAACTTTGCACAAGAAGTGGTGTAATAAAGACTTTTAGTATCATAGCCATGGTTTAGCCTTTATTTTTTATTGAACTGTATCGAATTGTTTTGAAATATATCATATTGAGTCGAAAGTGCACTGTATGGAGATATGTATCGTATCGTGGCCTGTGTATCGAGGTATGTATCGTATCGGCAACTTCTTAATAATACCCAGCCCTAGTGCCCACCCCTAGACTGAATTTTAGGTTTCATGTTAATAACCTTTTTACTGCTTCCACTCCTATTCTTCTGTGTCCTAGTGTTTTGTCTAAGGTTAAGGTACACTTCATTGTCCCCATGGGGAAATGTGTCCTCGATTTGCCCCTTCCTTCAGTGCCACTGGGGCTTCTCCTCGGGGGCAGAGAGCACCACGGTGCCGTGCTCAGGGACCTGTTTCCAGATCTTGAACTAGTCTTGGTCAGGACTGTCTTAATTGGGGGGCACTGATTTTAGAATTAAAGAAGACACATTGTGCTTGTGTCTCCTGTATACAGTCAAGATGTAGTTCTAAGCACTGACAACACCAACATCAATGAGGACAGGTACAGAAATGGGGTTCGGCTTATACACCTACATATGGCAGCACGAGCCGCCTCAGCCTATACCATCTCTGTCTGGGCTCAACACTCTGTCCCAAAAGTCAGCTCTGAAGAACTGCAGCTGCCCAGACACCAGGTGCACTCTGACTCAGCGGCCCTCAGGATACAGTCAGCTCTTGAACTCATACCTCAGTCAGATTGACACTAAAATCACTGTCCGGAGTGTGGCCAAACATCTCGCACGACACAGCACCTCTTCACCAGCCCTGCAAAGCGAGCACCACCAGATCTCCATGTGGGATCTGTGTGGACAGACCCCACAGAAGCTGCAGAATTCCTGGGACTAACATAGACGATGATGAAATACGGTTCAGGTTACAACAACAACAACAACACAATGTAGTTCTTGTTTTGACTGAAGTGTTTGTTTTGTGGTTTTTCAGGCGGCGAATTACCTGGACATTAAGGGTCTTTTGGACGTGACGTGTAAAACTGTGGCCAACATGATCAAAGGAAAGACCCCCGAGGAGATCAGGAAGACGTTTAACATCAAGAACGACTTCACAGAGGAGGAGGAGGCACAGGTCTGCACATACAACTAATATGCACATTTCTACATTAATATTTGTGTGTGTGTGTGTGTGTGTGAGTATGCACACTTTATAGATCACGGAGTTGGACTTAGACAAACTTTATTTGCTCCACAAGAGACACAGTAGCTCACACATCACAATATATTATAATAGCAAAAAATATATATAAATGGTAATTATACATTCTAAATAAGTAACAAAAATATCAAGAGACAAGTCAAATAGGCATAATGATATAAATCCACAATCTATTTCTGTTTTTAAACAAAATCTTAAAACATACCTTTTTACTAAAGCCTTTTGTTAATTGTATTTTATTCTTGTTTTATCTTATAAATTCCTGCACTGGTTTTAGCTTGATCCACTGTTTCTGATGCACCTTTTTACTCATTGTTTTTACCTGTAGCACTTTGAGATTATTTTATGTAAAGTGCAATATAAATAAAATGTATTATTATTATTATTATTATTATAAATCTATATGTACAAGTAAAAAATACAATAAAAATCAAATAGAAATACGTAATAAATATATATAATATATATAAATATACAAGGAAATATAAGGAAAACGGTGCAAAGATGATATGATAATTGACAGGACATAGGGTTAACTGTTCCATAAGGGTGAGAAGTTGTACAGTTGTAGGGAGTATTATCTGTTACATAAGGGTGAATTGTACAGTTGCAGGGAGTATTATCTGTCCCTCTATAGTCTAGTGCAGTGGGTGAGCGGGAGTGTCCATGATGGAGAACAGGTTGTCCTCTTGTTCCTCACTGTGACAAATGTCTCCAGCTGACAGCAGATCACGTGACCAGCTTTATGGATCAGTTCGGCTCAGAAAGAGCCAAAAATGAACCAAAACAAACACGTCGATGCCAACAGACGTCCTTCAGCCTATTTTAGCAGAAAGACTCTTTAGTTTGTGTTTGTTTAGGGGAGAGCTTTGTGAGTTTGTGGAGAACAAGCTGTTATGACGCTTCAACCAATCAGATTAAAATCCACCTTTTCCTGATCGCTTTTAGTGAGAGGTGAAAATGTGTCGAACTCAATTCAAAGGCTACGTTTACACTGAAAAGAATGTCCGTATCACTGTATCAAAAACGATCTGCGCCCAGACACGTTGTTTCTGTGTCCGCAGTCCTTCCCTATCAACACAGCTTTGAGCATATTTGTTTACGCTTTACAGAAACGAAACTTAAAACCACCTGGCTCATTTGCATAAACTAAATTTAAAAAACAGCTCACTATTGTTGCGCTGATGCGGTTCAGCTTCTGTCGGACTAAAGGACATGACTCAGTGGAATATGAGTGTTCTTTCTGTGACAGAGGGGTGTTCTGCTGATGGTGAGTCTGTTCTGTGTTTCTGTCGTGTTGGAGATGGTTCATAGACTGTATATATGAATGGACATATATTCTAGCTTCTTAGTGTTTTGGCGGTGAATTACTTCGCGGTGCACAGACCTACATCAGTGTATCAGCGTTTTCAGGCGTCCACACAGTGCCAGATCAGATCTGTACTCAGATGAATTCTTGGGAGCTGGCGGCACCAGATCGTTCCATCTCCGGAGCCGTTTTCCATCGGATTAGTGTGATCGAACACTATATCCACAACGAAAACCACTTAAATACGTACTAGTGTGGACGGGGCCGGAGTGTTACACATGTCTGGTGTGAGTCAGGTTAAGTTACTATATATAGCCGAAAAAGCAATGACTTTAAATGAACCCAAATACTAAATTTTGTAGGCAGGTGCAAGGTTGCGGTCGTGCGATCAAACCAGTTTTATACTCCTCATGTTTATCCTTTAACACTGAGTAAAAAAAGGACTTACTAAGGTCTATTTTTTAATGATTGATGTGTTTTGTGTCTTTTCAGGTACGCAAAGAGAACCAGTGGTGTGAAGAGAAGTAGCTGCACCCGTCGTCACCTGTCGCCCCCCGTCCGCCCCGCCCGCCCACCCACCCACACTTTACAGAAGAATGTCCCCGTAACACAAAACCAACTCACACAGACACAAACTGCACTGGCGTTGTTCATACTTGTTAATATTGACATTTAGTATATTTAGAATCACTTTACCCACAATGCTCCTCTCCTCCTGTCCCTTTCCTGTTTCCCGTTTCGAAAGCATGACCATTTTAACCTGCGTGATGTAATTAATTTAAATAAAGCTTTTTGTTTTGACACTTTTTTTTTCTCTGTTGGCATACTGACAAAACATAGTCCACATTTAGCTTGTACCTTTAGCCTCTTCCTCTTTGCGAACTTTGTGGTTTTTTTTTTACTTTTTATTTGAGGTCAGTGATTTGAATGAAGCTGGAGGCAGAAGTGACTATTTTATTTTCACATCTGTAAATGCTTTTGTGATACTTCTGTTTAGAATATAGAAGAGTTGAAGAAAATTTGGCCTATTTTAATAAAGGGGACATATAACGCTTACTAGAGATGTGTTAACTTGGCAGGACAAGTTTTTAGTTTCATGTTTAAAGCTTTATTGTGTAACTTTTCCGACATTTTTTCTTGGCTCCCTCCATGGAGACGTTATTGCGTGGCCTGGAATGTTCCGCAGTGTTACAGCATCACTAATCTATCGCTTCTGTTCACGTACAGGTGTTTTCACTGCTGAAGAATACCTTGAAAAACACTCTTAAGTGGGCTCGCCTTTCCACAGATCTGACTTTCTTAGCGCTTTATTGCGCAGCAGCAATAGCATCTCCATGGAGACGAGCAAACAGGCAGTGAAAATGGTAGAAAAGTTACATACAGTGGCTTTAGTCAGACACCACCCAAATAAGAAAGTTATGGGTAAGAAAATAATTTTATTTTTTACTTTTCCGTTACTTTAAGTTCTAAAATGTGAAATGTCAAAGCGGAAATGTCAAATCAAGCGAAGCCTGATGTGTCCCCTTTAGGAGAAGTGAAGCTTGTGTCAGGACTCTGCTTGTTTCAGAGTGACAGTGACTTTCTCTGATTACGGTTCATGTTGTGTTTATTCGGTCATTTTGGGCTCGTCCGACATTAAAGGAGCAAATAAAATGTACTTAAAGGAAACGCGTCGTCTTTAATCTTATTCAGAAAGAGAAACGAGACGGCGGCTGCGTTCCCATGCGCACCAAAATCTGATCGTGTGATTTCTGAAGCGTTAAAATGACTTCAAAATGATAATAGAAATGGGTCGGATGTAATTAATTTTACAGTTTACATGTCATTTTCATTTTCTTATAACTCAGAAATCTGATCACCTGATTCTGAGTGTGCATGTGCCCGCAGCCATTGTTTATTTTGAAATTGAATTTTGACTTTCAAATTGGTGTATTGGTATTCCTGTCAGTGTTGGAAAAAGTACTCAGTTTTGTTAAGTAAAATTATTAAACTACCCATTTTACGAAATATATTTTAAAAGTGCATTTCGTGAACAAAAGTTGCCAAAGTGCTGCACAATACAAATAAAGCATCCAACTGAAATATAAAAATAAAGCTCTACTTAACTCCACTAGTTCTCGTTAAGACAATAAAACTAGTAAAATCATATAAGAGCAAGAATACCAATAAATCATAAAAAGAGAAAAATAAATAACATAAAAATAAACCACACAACTCACGAGATGTTAAAAGCCAGAGCCTTAAGACGAGACTGAACACTTCGCTGTGGGGCTGTTGGGACGTGGAGGCGCAGAATGTACCAGAGTTTGGAGTCGGTCACAGAGAAGGTCCTGTCCTCCTGGTCTAAAGTCTCGTCTTAGGCCCCACGAGCTGGAGCTGACCCCTTGGACCTCAGAGTGCGCAGGAGAGTAAATTTGGAGGAGGTCCGAGATATAACATGGGGTCAGTCCATTCAAAGCTTTAGAAACAAATAAAATCTTAAAACTAACTCTAAAATAAACTGGAAACTAGTGCAATGATGCAAAATTGATGCTAAATTCTGGGTATTTTTAGTATTTTGAGCTTGGTGTTAAAATAACCCCTCTGGACTTTTCAACACACACAATAATAAAAAAAAACAAAAAAACTTTTTACTTACTTTTCAGTCCAGTTCAAAAATGTAATGGACTAGAAAGTACAGATAGCTGCTCTCAGATTAGATACCAAGAATTTTATCAGCAGTACAGTACTTTACTCCTTTTACTTCATTACATTCCACCAGATTTCTGACTACGATCTGGGTTCAAGATCTCTGTCAAATGTCCCTTCACCTAAAAATATGTAGGTTGTGCACAGACGCCCCTGAGACAGTCCAGCACAGAACCAAAAGGCTCTGAGACGCCGCAGGTAAGGCGCACATGGAACCACACCAGCAAGTGGCGTGCGTAGTGTACAGCAGGGGTGTCAAACTCATTTTGGTCCGAGGGCCGTATCCAACCTACTTTGATCCCAAAGGGGCCGGATCAAAAAACTTATGGCATATAAACCCCAAAAATAACAATACGTTCAAATATTTGTGTAGAGAAATGCAAATCTATTACAGAAATATTTTTTTAATTGATGAACTCTTTCTTTTACAAAATATTATAATATTATGAACAACCTGAAACTTAAAAAAAAAAATGCAATTTCAACACTTGGATGCAAATAGGAATAAGTCAATTTTTGTTGGTGAAAATCCTGCACTCAGCTCCACTTTTCTCATGTTGGACATTTTTCTGATGAGGGTGTCACAGTTAACAGTCCAAACGATCGTCCTTTAAGAGCGTTTGGAAAGAGACAAGACTTCATTTGTGCTGCTCTGGTGGGAGGGGCCACGTACAGAGACGCTGGAGACGCTGCTGTGATAAACACCACAGAAAATTAACAAGATTTTAATAGAAAATATAGTTAAAATATTTTAGTAGAAAATCAGCCGAGGGCCAGATTAAAGGTCTTGGAGGGTCGGATCTGGCCCCTGGGCCGTATGTTTGACACCTGTGGTGTACAGAAATGTGTACACTACGGGCTGGAGACTGACCAAGCCAAGAACCTGTGAGACTTCAGGTACAGACTGACAGAACGGTGATGGAACCAACCAGTTGCTTTTTATATCCAACACTGCATTGCTAAGAAAATGTTCATCTCTCGAGTTGGTCAACAGTATTTTGGAAAGTTTTGTTTTATTGGCTACTTCAATATGCAAAATGTCTTCCTCTCACCCTCTCCGTCCTCTGCTCCATTTGACCCACTTCTCTGTTCCTCTGACCCTCCGCTCTGCTCTATCTGGCCTTTCCTCTGGTCCTCTGCCCCTCTTCTCTGTTCCTCTGACCTTCTCGTCTGCTTCTGTGACCCTTTCCTCTGGTTCTCTGACCTTTTCCTCTGTCCTCTGCCCCTCTCCGCTTCTCCTCTGACCCTCTGACCTTCTCCTCTGCTCCTCTGACCCTTTCCTCTGACCCTCTCCTCTTCTCTGACCCTCTCCTCTGCATCCCTCTTTCCCGCCCTCATTGATCAGAAGTGACGACTATGACAAATATTAAAACACTTTATTACATGTAACAAAAACAGATAATACGTCATGGATTTCAATGCATCAAAAATACAAAAAAAAAAAAAAAAAAAAAAAAAAAACATGTTTCATTTATTTTTCAAAAGAGGAATGACCTTTTTAAATCACAGCTATCCACCAGCGCTCCCTCTAGTGGACAACTGCAGAATTACTCAAGAGAAAATCAAAACATTAAGTCCGATGTAGTTTGACCATGCACAGATCTGACAGTTAAGACAACACTCAAAATGTATTGCTTTGAAAACTTAACTTTTTTTTTTTTTTTTGTAATTTTTTTTTTCAAATATTTTACATAAAAACATAGAAAAGTTATAATAATTGGAAACTTTACAACACGTGAGATTTATAATAGTTCTCATTTGGTCTTTACACAGCTGCAGAATGTCAGTCAAAAATACAAAACATTATTAAACATAAAATAGTAACTCGCACGCACCTGCCAATTCATATTAAAGGGCCCATGTTACACTGTTCTCTCATTTATGTTCTGTTTCCTCGTCACAAACAGACCTGGAGTTGTGTTTTGTTTCATTCACACATGTTTAACACACAAACCCTGCACATTTAGGCTCAGGGTTCCCAGTCTTTTTCACTGACAACATTTTTTCCATGACTTTTTCATGACCTAAAGTGAATTTTCCATGACTTTACGGCAGAGGTGGGACCAAGTCGTCGTTTTGCAAGTCTCAAGTAAGTCTCAAGTCTTTGACCTCAAGTCCAAGTCAAGTCCCAAGTCAAATAAAGGCAAGCCTAAGTTAAGTCTTGAGTCACTGGCCCATAAGTCCAAGTCGTCTGCTTTGAGCTCCAAGTCATTTCAAATCTTTAAACCAACTTATATTTTTGCTAAATATATGAATTTTAAACTAAATTGTACTTAAAAAGTCACGGTATATTTATATATGAGTATTTAAGATTTGTAGAAATGCTCATTTTTCCTTTTTAAATGTCTTGAGAAGATCTTAGTGTGAATCATTAAGGTCAGAATAGAAAGAATTTTGATTTAAAAATGCTAAATAACATTTATTTTGTCATGTAATCTGCACTTAAAAGGAAGGATCATGTTCTCTGTAGTTCCTTTTACTGTATTGTACTGTATGTTACTGTATATTACTGTAGCACAGTGAAGACACCATCTCACAGTACTTCAATTACATCCAAAGTACCAAACAGAAGTGGGAGGGACATGTTCCAGTTTGTTTCTATAAAATTAAGCATTTTAATAAAGTATTTTCTAAAAACATATATTTTTTAGGAGAAGTGTCAAGTCTTCTCAAGTCACAGGCCTCAAGTCTGTCATGTCCCAAGTCACTGACCTTCTGGTTCAAGTCAAGTCCCAAGTCTAAGTCTAATTTATCAAGTCAAGTCTCAAGTCCTAAAAATAGTCAAGTCTGACTTGAGTCCAAGTCACAACTTGCAAGTCCCACCTCTGCTTTACAGCACCTACATGAGTCGAACTGATCAGATTTTTCAGGCTAAATATGAAATTTTTACTCTTTCCACTCACCTTATAGTTTTTTGATTATAGTTTTTGAACATTTAAATCCTGTCAGTGATTTTATTGTCGTCTCTTTTAAACAAAAGGCACAGATGTTCTGAAATAATCATAATAGCCTCATGAGAACTGAACAGAACACTGGAGTTGTGTGAAAGAGATAATATAATTTCATGACTTTTCCAAAACTTTCATTGTATTTACAAAATTCCATGACTTTTCCAGGCCTGGGAAATGACATTTTCAGTTTCCATGACTTTTCCAGGATTCTCATGACTGTGGGAACCCTGTATGTTCTTCTCTCATGCTGAAAATATCAACTTGCAATATCATACCCCTAAACACAGCATATTGAGTTTTGTAGATGTAACTCATATCTAATCATCCTAGAGTTACTCAAACTTGTGTGAATGAAACAAAACACCACTGCAAAAAAGCTAAAGATATAAACACTTTCAGAAAATGACTTAAAAGTAGTGAAATTATCTTCCTGCATGGACAGATAATTTTACTTGACAAGTTCTCTTAAAATAAACAACCTCTAGACTAAAATTAAGCATTGTCAGAACCAGAAAGTAGATAATAAACCTGAAAACCAGATGAATAACCTGATATAAGTTTTAAAATCTTGGACAGATCAGAGAACCGTGCAGTGCAGGTCTGTTTCTGAGGAGGCAACAACATTATAACATGGCTTGAAGCTCACAAGAGTAATACAGGACCTTTAAAGGTGCACTGCGTAACATTTCTGACGGAGGGTCTGCCATCTGCTTGTCTCCATGGAGATGTTATTGCTTTGCCCGAACCATTCCACATGCATTAAACGTATCCACTCACAGGAAGATTGCAAAATTTTGAAGGTATTTTTGAGTATGAGAAACACCTGTAATATGTTTAATGCCGTACTGTGGAACATTCTATACAAATCTCCATGGAGACAGATGATGCAAATGTCCGCCTCACCACCAGAACAGTTACACAGCGCGCCATAAATGCACAAAAATAAGATTGTAACCATTGATTTATATGAAAGACCAGCACTGGCAAAACAATATAAAAGAACCAATAGAAATAGAATTAATTATATTTTTATCTAATTTAAAGAGGAGTTAATTCACTTTTCTGGGGTATAACTGCACACAACACAATCACATGACATTTTTAGATCATCATGTGACCTTTTATTGTTTTAAAAATGCTATATATGTCTTCTTGAGCAGAAACTTCAAGCTAAACATAAGGAGGGTTCAATTAAGGCCCAGTAGAGATCGCTAGATTACTCAAACATGTATGGATGACAGCTAAAACCTCTTCAGACATGTAGAAAAAAAAAAAAAATCCATAATACCTCCTCTTTCATGCATTTAGACATCTTTGTAGAGTCATCCAATAAAATCCTTTACTATAATTTCACATTTCTGGATTTGTTTGTATTTATTTGTACATTTTCTATTCATTTACACACATTTTTTATTTATTTTTTTCATCTTGGCACACTTGGTACGAGTTCTATATTGTTTTGTCAGTTTTGGTCCTCATAGATTTTGTAAACAGATAAAAAGTGCCTAAAAGAGAGAACTTTGACTCATCAAACCTGCACAAATACTGAGTTAAATGTCATGGGATTTTTGGTGGTTTTGTTTTGTAGCTGCTGACGAGAGGCGAAGGAGTGACACACAACGGCAAAAACGCATTTCTCAAATTGTTTTAGCGTCTATTAGTACGTTTTAATCATTCATTTATTTTTCCTGAACGCTCATATTTGAGTCAAAACACCGGTTGTTGTTTTGTGTGGCACAGAATGCGAGAAAGTGAAATTCGGACTAAACTAACTCTCTAAAAAAAAATATCTCCGCTCACAGTCAGGCCCGTCGACAGAAATTTGAGGGACCCGGGGCAAAAAGTCTCACACGGGCCCCCCTTTGGTATGAACTAAGAGGAAGAGGGTCCAATTCTACGCCTTTAATTCTAAGACCCTGGTCCGCTACTCGGCTCAGTTTGTCCGTTTTTTTCTCGATCTAAAGGTGCTCTCGCTGCGAAGAGGAACATTTACATCTCCAAAACACAAAGACGGTACTGTGTGTTCTTTTAAAAGGTCAAATATTACCTGGAAATGCCCCTCTCTACTGAACAGAAGGTAAAACGTGACTTGAGAACTGTGCAGCGGAACATTTTGAGTTTTGTAGACAGACTAAAAATAAAGAATTACTCAAAACTAAACTGTGAAATAAACAAAAACACAAGTCCAGGTCTGTTTTTGAGGAGGTAACAACATTCTAACATGACTTAAAGCTCACAAGAGGCAATTTTGTGTAATATAGGAACTTCAGAATACAGGGAATGACTTTACTGCTGTGTACATTGTCAACAAAATATAATAATAATAGCAAAAGTGTACTTATTTTCTAAAATGATTCACAGTATTTATTGAAAAACGAATGGTCTAATTTTCAAACTTAAAGGTCCTATATTACGCAAATTGACTCTTGTGAGCTTTAAGTCATGTTATAATGTTTTTACCTCCGCAAAAACAGACCTGGAGTTGGGTTTTGTTTCATTCACATGTTTGAGTAACGCTTTATTATTAGTCGGCCTGAGCTCTAAATAATTCAAAATGACCCGTGTGAAGCTGGCCCCCCATCAAACGCGAACCTACACAAAAACTACGTTAATCGTTTGCGCCGTTTTGTGCTGCAAAGAGTTTTGTTTGTGCTGCTTTAGTTTTTGGAGATATTAACAATTCTTTTAGAGGTCAATTTAGGGTCAGCCAGCCCCACAGGAAGCTTCAAAATGCTCTTCAACGGCCGTTTGTGCTTCGTTTGTGCTGCAAAAATCTTTGTTTTATTTAGTTTAGTTTTAGTTTTTGCCAATAGCATCATCCAGCCCCTCAAAACGTTAAAGAGCCTCAAAACAGCAGAAAATTATACCAAACATCTGTATTTCATTTGTGCTGTTTCGTGCTGTGACAATTTTCATTTCTGCGAGCATATTTCTAAAACTATTAACTATTATTTTTGTGGAAATTATATGACATCATTTCCGCTCGGCTGACAACAGCGGCTTTAACAAAACTCGTGAAGATAAATGATGTGAGGCTGTGGAAAAGTCTGTATCAGTCTGTAGGAACTTGCTTTTGATTCATGTTTTATTTAATAATGCAGACTTTTCCACAGCCTCACATCGTTTCTCTTCACAAGTCTTGCGGAGTTTGCTGCCGTTAACCGAACGGAAATGACATCATATAATTTCCGCAAAAATAATTAATAATTTCAGAAATATGCTGACACAAATAAAAACTGTCACAGCACAAAACAGCACAAACAAAATACCAATGTTTCATATAATTCGAGTCTATTTTGAGACTCTTTAACATTTTGAGGGGCTGGATGACGTCATCGGTCCAAAATAAAACTGCTAATACCTTAAGAACCATAATCTCACAAACAAAACTTTTTGCAGCACGAAACAGCACAAATGTAGCACAAACAACTGACTCCATTTTGGGCCGTTGAAGAGCATTTTGAAGCTTCCTGTGGGGCCGTCTGGACCTAATTTGACCTATAAAAGAATTGTGAAGATCTCAAAAACAAAAATAGCACAAATGAAACTTTTTGCAGGACAAATCGGCACAAACGACAGGCACAGTTTTTGTGTAGTTGTGGTTTTGATGGGGGTCCTAACATCATGGAGGTCTCAAAATGCTCTGTTCCAACTTGTGATGTCATGAAGCGGTCATTTTCAAGTTAACAGCTTCTTTTACCTTTAGTTCAGGAGAGATCGGTGACTCCAGGGCTGACATGATCCAAATGCTTTTAGTGAGGGTGTGTGGAGTTTAAAAACACAGTGGATCGCTTGTGTTTTCTGTTTGAGAGAAGAACAATGCCTGAATGTGCAGAGTTTGTGTGAATGAAACGAAACACAACTCCAGGTGTGTTTTGTTTTGTAACGTAGATCAGAAAACAGCCTAATGTCACTCCTTCACCTCCAAACAAACGTCCACATTTACAGAAAAAACACTTCTCGTTGGATTCGTCTCCTCTTCAGTGATTGTCCGTCAGCACTTTGAGCGACAGCCCCGCCGCTCTGGCCAGCGACGGCTTGATCTGGCACGGCTGCTGCGGCGACGAGCGTGCGTGTGAGCGGGTGTGCACGAGGCGGGGCGGGGGAAGCGTCTGGGGAGCGGGAGGGCAGCCGTGGCGGTGCTGAAAACCGCCAACGCTGGGCCGGCCCTGCTGACCCCGCTGCTGGTAACCGCGAGACGGGGACAGCGCCGGCGGAGTGTCTGCGGCTTTGACGGGAGCGGGGAGCGTCCGGGGAGAGGGGGAGCAGCCGGGCGAGACGTGCTGCTGCGGCGGCGGCGGCGGCGGGACGGCGAGGCTGGAGTGGTTTCTGGGGTGACTGCGGGACGGGGACGGGGCCGTGGGCGGAGACTCGATGTTTGTGAGGGCGGGGGGAAGCGTCTGGGGAGAGGGAGAGTCCATGGCGCTCAGTTCGGAGGAGTCGGGGCTAGCGCAAAGGTCCCGATGCTGCAGGTATCGTATGCATTTCTTCTTCCTCCTAAACGGGTCAGAGAGAGTGGTCTGTAGATACATAAACCACGTGGAGATGAGGTCAGACACACACACAATGGGAAGAACACAACAACACAAGATGACAATGGACAAAATGCATGATCCTACATTACTAAAGCACTACTACGGAATATTACTACAGTTAGGTATTGATATTTTGGAGTGACATGAGGTAGAGTGACCAGATTTTCAAAATTAAAAACTGGGATACACTCGATTTGTGGTGGTTTGTGATAATAAAACTGTGAAAACCAGTGTTGGGGAGTAACAGATTACATGTACCGGAGTTGCATAATCAGAGTACTAATTATGAGTAACTGTATTCAGTTACAGTTACAGTTTCAGTGAGTGGTAATTGGATTACAGTTACTTTGTTGAAATAAATGGATTACACGGCGGTAATTTCCTGTTTTCCTCTTTTCACATTTTGGGCTATATTCCAGGACTATAACCAGGACTAAACCAGGACTAAAACTAGATCTAAACTAGATCTAAACCAGGACTAAAACCAGGACTAAACCAGGTCTAAACCAGGTCTAAACTAGATCTAAACTAGATCTAAACCAGGACTAAAACCAGGACTAAACCAGGTCTAAACCAGGTCTAAACTAGATCTAAACTAGATCTAAACCAGGACTAAAACCAGGACTAAACCAGGTCTAAACCAGGTCTAAACTAGATCTAAACTAGATCTAAACCAGGACTAAACCAGGTCTAAACTAGATCTAAACTAGATCTAAACCAGGACTAAACCAGGTCTAAACCAGGTCTAAACTAGATCTAAACTAGATCTAAACCAGGACTAAACCAGGTCTAAACCAGGTCTAAACCAGGTCTAAAACAGGACTAAAACTGGATATAACAGGACTAAATCATGCTGCGTGGACCGTGTCTCCTCTTCTATCAATAATATTTTTTATACAGTTAAGTAAAGACTCTGCCTTTTTATTTTCTTTTAACAGACAAAACATCTTATATTAAAATGTCCTCGTCTTTGCTTCTCTACAGCAAATCAAGTAATCCAAAGTATTCAGATTACGTTACTCACTTTGAATAATTTAATGGATTACGTTACAAACTACATTTTGGTGTGTGTAATCTGTAATCTGTAGGGGAATACATTTTAAAAGTCACCTTCCCAACACTGATCATGACTAACATGTAAATCAGTTTCATCACATTTTCTTTGTGTTTTTGTCATTTTTAAGCAGCTTTTCTCTATTTTACCTAAACAAATTACAATGTACGTCTCTCTTTACTGTTGGCAGGGATCAGATTGGTCAAAAATAGCCTGGGACATTTCTTGTCTGAAACGGCTTTGAGTTAATCTGTTGGGACAGGGGACACAGGGCTCAAAACTAAACAGAGATGTTTGGTCACCCTGGACCAGTAGCTCTCCACCTCACCAACGGATTTCTGAATTCTATATATTGTGCATAATAAGTAAAATTTGATTAATTACCATTGTAAATGTATCATTTTGATGCCTAACTTGGTTCACTGATAAATGGAGAATGGTTTATGTTTTATAAGCATCTAACTGTTCCTCGTCTAAGACTTGCTGAGGCTCTTATATTTACTCAGTTTCTTTCTGAATGCTGAAATTGGTAGCTCTCTGGCATTTTTGTTTTGTAAATGTAGCTCACTGGAGAAAAAAGATTGGAGACCCCTGCCCTAGACATTGGGGTTGGGGGTCTGTGCATGCATGTCTATGGTAGAATTTCAGGCTGTGTTTCCAAATAGTGACATAATGCACACATTAACAAACACACCAAAAAGCTTTTAGATCAGGGGTGTCAAACTCATTTTGGTCCGGGGGCTGTATCCAACCTACTTTGATCCCAAAGGGGCCGGATCAGAAAACTCATGGCATATAAACCCCAAAAATAACAATAAGTTAAAATATTTGTGCTGAGAAACGCAAATCTATTCAAAATATTATAAACAACCTGAAACTTTAAGAAAAATGCAATTTCAACACAATGTTTTAACATGAACTTGTATCCAAATATGAATACGTAAAATTTTTGTTGTAAAATCCTGCACTCGGCTCCACTTTTCTCATGTTGGACATTTTTCTGATGAGGGTGTCACGGTCAACAGTCAAAACGATCGTCCTTTAAGAGCGTTTGGAAAGAGACAAGTCTTCATTTGTGCTGCTCTGGTGGGAGGGGCCACGTACAGAGACGCTGGAGATGCTGCTAGGCTCAGCACCACAGAAAATTAACAATATTTTAATAGAAAATATAATTTAAATATTTTAGTAGAAAATCAGCCAAGGGCCACATTAAAGGTCTTGGAGGGTCGGATCTGGCCCAGTGTTGTGCAAGTTCACACTTTTCATGAACTAGTTCAAAGTTCAGTTCAACTTGTTCAAAGTGAATAGTTCACGTTCAAGTTCACAATTTTAATTTTGAACTAGTTCAAAGTTCAGTTCATTTTATATTTAGATGAGATCTGCAAATGAAAGGCTGCATTTATTTTTCAAACTGACTTCTAGTTTACAACAACTTTACAAGATCCACTGTTGGACAAGTGACTTTAAAACTGTGATGTGTTATTTATGACTTGTTACTGTCATTTCAAAGTCATTTGTTACATTACAATATTACTGTATTTAAAATGTAAAACATTACATGACTATTGCAGCACTTTTAATTTACTCTCACCAAAAGAACTGTTAAGATGCTGAACTTTTGCGCCGTATATGGACTGAACCAGGTCTAAGCCAGGTCTAAACCAGGTCTAAACCAGGACTAAACCAGAACTGAACCAGGTCCAAACCAGGACTAAACCAGGTCTAAACCAGGACTAAACCAGAACTGAACCAGGTCACCAACTAACCAGAACTGAACCAGGTCTAAACCAGGACTAAACCAGGTCTAAACCAGGTCTAAACGAGGACTAAACCAGGACTAAACCAGAACTGAACCAAGACTGAACCAGGTCTAAACCAGGAATAAACCAAGACTAAACCAGGACTGAACCAGAATTGAACCAGGTCTAAACCAGGACTGAACCAGGTCTCAGGAATAAACCAAGACTAAACCAGGACTGAACCAGAATTGAACCAGGTCTAAACCAGGATTGAACCAGGACTGAACAGGACTAAACCAGAACTGAACCAGACTAAACCAGGACTAAACAAGACTAAACCAGGACCAAACCAGGACTAATCCTGGACTAGAACTTGGAATCTGGACCGCCCCTGAGAGAACGAGTGCGATCGGGCGTCAGCTGCGTTTAGTTCGGTGGAGCGCGGACTTCTGCGTCGTCCTTTCGCTCAGGATCACGGTCTACGCGGGCGAACCTCCGGCTTTTCACCGCTGTTGATATCGCGGTGATTTTAGCAATTTGATGAAGAGACATTTCAGTCCTTAAAAAAGCATTTGTGTTACTCACATATGCAAGTAAAATAATACGCGCGCGGAGCAGCACGTCCTGTGCGTGTAGATTTCAGAAAATAGGATCCATCCTATTTTTTGACGCTCTACACGAGTGTAGGTGCATCCCCGTCAAAATCCACAGAGAGCATGTATCTATGTTGTATTTGTGCATTTACCATCAGCACATTGTGCTCCCTGGGCAGTTTGTATCATGTGAAAGAGCCCAGATCCACATACACTGTTAATTAGTGCTTTGAAATTTTACTTTTGAAATCCTTGCGTTGCGTGGTCAGCCTGTACAGAAGTAAATACAAGCAGCTTAAACGCCCAGTCAAGTTTTGATTACTTCCATGAGAGACACAAAGCCCGTACGTTCGCTAAAAGTCGCTTACGTTGACACGCGGCTGTGGTTTCGCGATGAAGTGCGAGCAGATCGTCACTTCGTCATTGAAAACAAATTCCGACGTTTAACTGAACCCCAACAGTGACGTACTGTTCATCAAACATAATTTGAACAAATTCACGTTCAAGTTCTTGATTTACAAAAGTGTTGCGTTCAGTTCAAAGTTCACTGAAAATGAACGTGTTCAATGACGCGTTCTTTTGGTTCATGCACAACACTGATCTGGCCCCGGGCCGTATGTTTGACACCCCTGTATTAGATAGTCTGATCGGGTGACCAGACGTCCCAAAATCTAAGCTGTTGTCCTGAATCCCAAATCCGGGCCTAAATGTCCTGAAAATGACCCTCAGAGAGAATACTGAGTAGTTATTTTCTGATAAGAGGTTGAGTCGACCGCATGCAGCCCCTGACAGTAATAGACGCTCTGTTTGCAAGTCGGACATTTGCCTTCGTCACCTCCTACGTCATACCAAGGAAGAGCGTCTGATTGAAGGTGCGGGTGTATAGTACGCAGCATTTGGAGCCGAGTGGAGAGCAGCAAGATAGAGTATCAGCAACGTGTGGTCAGGGGAGGCAGGGGAGGCAGTGCCACAACCAAGCTTTCCCCTAATTATGCAGTTTAGCTCATTCTGTTTGTTCTTTCTTCAGTTTTGTGTATAGAACTCAATGTTTTTATTAGTTAATGCGATTTTTATTTACAGCCAATCGCATCTGGTCACCCTGTAGTCTGAAAATAAAGCTCAAATTAAAGTCTTACTTGAGTAACAGAGTTTCAGACACAGCAGAGCCTACAGTTAGCATCACCCCTCCCCCGATTAGCTGCAAAATACAATCTGAGCTTCAGAACAAACTTCCTTGGAACTACAACGGGTGAACTGATTTGTGCTGTTAAACACGTCCCTCTCACACAGATCACAGGCTTCAGAAAATGCAGTTGAAACCCTTTTTCTATTTACTTTTTTGTGTTTTCAGACCATCTTAAGACTTTTTTGACAGCTTTTGTTAATATATGCATTGTGTCACCATGGCAAACGCTGACCATTCCACCACAGACGTACATGCAGAACCCCCCAGCATGACGTGACTGCAAAGTATCTATAGATGTTTGACGTGTATCTCCTCCATGTTGTGACGAGGTTGAGTTCAAGTGGTGAAGTGTGGGTACGTGAGTCGTGACGTCACCGATGTGATGAGTTT